TGGCGTTCTCTGGTGGAACATTCATACTGAAACAGGGCCATGGAGAAGGATAATGTCTCTGCTGTAGGCAAAATAGTTTGACAATGCAGATATTATAATCAGAGCGTGTTTCTTCGCATGTTTTCCCACGTGTGCGTGTGGTTATTGCAGACTTGATGCCTATTTGGTGTTTGAACGTCTTAAAACCTAATGCTGTATTGCCTGAAAGGGCTCAAAGCCCACTGTATTATTATTTTTCATCATTTTGGATATTGGCACAAAAGGTATCCAATTGACACATTTAAAGTGTTACATAGACACGTTTAAAGTGTTACATAGACACATTTAAAGTGTTACATAGACACATTTAAAGTGTTAAATAGACACATTTAAAGTGTTAAATAGACACATTTAAAGTGTTAAATAGACACATTTAAAGTGTTAAATAGACACATTTTAAGTGTTAAATAGACATTTTAAGTGTTAAATAGACGCATTTTAAGTGTTAAATAGACACATTTTAAGTGTTAAATAGACACATTTTAAGTGTTAAATAGACACATTTTAAGTGTTAAATAGACACATTAAAAGTGTTACATAGACACATTTAAAGTGTTACATAGACACATTTAAAGTGTTAAATGGACACATTTAAAGTGTCACACAGACACATTTAAAGTGTTAAATAGACACAATTTAAAGTGTTAAATAGACACATTTAAAGTGTTAAAGACACATTTAAAATGTTAAATAGACACATTTAAAGTGTTAGACACATTTAAAGTGTTAAATAGACACATTTAAAGTGTTAAATAGACACATTTAAAGTGTTACATAGACACATTTAAAGTGTTACATAGACACATTTAAAGTGTTACATAGACACATTTAAAGTGTTACATAGACACATTTAAAGTGTTAAATAGACACATTTATAGTGTTAAATAGACATTTAAAGTGTTAAATAGACACATTTATAGTGTTAAATATACACATTTAAAGTGTTAAATAGACACATTTAAAGTGTTAAATATACACATTTAAAGTGTTAAATAGACATTTAAAGTGTTAAATAGACACATTTTAAGTGTTAAATAGACACATTTTAAGTGTTACATAGACACATTTTAAGTGTTAAATAGACACATTTTAAGTGTTAAATAGACACATTTTAAGTGTTAAATAGACACATTTTAAGTGTTAAATAGACATTTATAGTGTTAAATAGACATTTGAAGTGTTAAATAGACATTTAAAGTGTTAAATAGACACATTTTAAGTGTTAAATAGACACATTGTAAGTGTTAAATAGACACATTTGAAGTGTTAAATAGACACATTTATAGTGTTAAATAGACATTTGAAGTGTTAAATAGACACATTTAAAGTGTTACATAGACACATTTAAAGTGTTACATAGACACATTTAAAGTGTTAAATATACACATTTATAGTGTTAAATAGACATTTAAAGTGTTAAATAGACACATTTAAAGTGTTAAATATACACATTTAAAGTGTTAAATAGACATTTAAAGTGTTAAATAGACACATTTTAAGTGTTAAATAGACACATTTTAAGTGTTACATAGACACATTTTAAGTGTTAAATAGACACATTTTAAGTGTTAAATAGACACATTTTAAGTGTTAAATAGACACATTTTAAGTGTTAAATAGACATTTATAGTGTTAAATAGACATTTGAAGTGTTAAATAGACACATTTTAAGTGTTCAATAGACACATTGTAAGTGTTAAATAGACACATTTTAAGTGTTAAATAGACACATTTATAGTGTTAAATAGACATTTGAAGTGTTAAATAGACATTTAAAGTGTTAAATACACACATTTAAAGTGTTAAATAGACACATTTAAAGTGTTAAATAGACACATTTAAAGTGTTAAATAGACACATTTAAAGTGTTAAATAGACACATTTAAAGTGTTAAATAGACACATTTAAAGTGTTAAATAGACACATTTAAAGTGTTAAATAGACACATTTATAGTGTGAAATAGACATCATTTAAAGTGTTAAAGACACATTTAAAGTGTTAAATAGACACATTTAAAGTGTTAAATAGACACATTTGAAGTGTTAAATAGACACATTTAAAGTGTTAAATAGACACATTTATAGTGTGAAATAGACATCATTTAAAGTGTTAAATAGACACATTTAAAGTGTTAAATAGACACATTTAAAGTGTTACATAGACACATTGAAAGTGTTACATAGACACATTTATAGTGTGAAATAGACATCATTTAAAGTGTTAAAGACACATTTAAAGTGTTAAATAGACACATTTAAAGTGTTAAATAGACACATTTAAAGTGTTAAATAGACACATTTATAGTGTGAAATAGACATCATTTAAAGTGTTAAATAGACACATTTAAAGTGTTAAATAGACACATTTAAAGTGTTAAATAGACACATTTAAAGTGTTAAATAGACACATTTAAAGTGTTAAATAGACACATTTAAAGTGTTAAATAGACGCATTTTAAGTGTTAAATAGACACATTTTAAGTGTTAAATAGACACATTTTAAGTGTTAGACACATTAAAAGTGTTAAATAGACATTAAAAGTGTTAAATAGACACATTAAAAGTGTTAAATAGACACATTCACGCGTTAAATACACATTCACGTGTTAAATATACATTTTGAAGTGCTATATAGACACATTGAAGTGTTATATTGGTAAGATTGAAGTTACCTTTTTGAGAAGCTACTGAGAACCAAAAGTTTTAAAAATGTATGCGTTTACTGCACTACATTAATTTTATGAAACATAAACTTTAAGACGTTTCTGGAACATCGCATCATCTCCTATGTTAGTGAACGAGTTTATTTAGGAATACATTTTTATCGATTATTTTGTCGATTACTCAACAGCGACAACACAATGTACATTGGTGAAGACGCCGCCCCCTGCAGTGTAAACAATTTAAAGTTTAAATTTCGATTTAAAGCTTTCGTGACTGCAATGATTCATCTTCTTTGGTTCTTTCGGTAAAGTCTCTCTCTCGCCTATGAAGGGTCACTGACCCGAAACGTCGCCCGTTCTCTACATCCCCGCTGTGAAGACCACGTGGAGTGTTCTGAGGCTGCTGCTCGCCACTAGACTCCCCGAAGTGATCCAGGGGGCCCCAGGGGGCTCCAGGGGGCTCCAACCTTCACCTGCTACACCCCCACCCCCCTCACCCCCGAGCGGCCCTGGACATTCCACATTCACGTGGCCGGGGGCCAGGACGTCCAGGCCAACTGAACGGCCGCTTGAAGCTTCGCGGTCGACACTCCACAGCCGCCTTGGATGGGTTCAATTCCTGAACCAAAAACACCCCTCAACAACCACCACGTACCTGGTACAAAACACAGACCTCGCCGAGAATAACAACACGAAACGTCGGGTCTTGTTGTTCTCGTTGCGTGTCTCACCCTTCGCTTGGTGTCCTCAGGCAGCTGTTTATAGAGAAACTTAAATAGCTCCGATGTAGAGTTGAAGTTTGCGTGACTGCAGGGATAGATAATCTTTGGTTCTGTCGCTCAAGTCACGGAGGTAGAAAATACATTAAAATCACGACGTTTTGTTTTATAGCTACGTGACTTGACCGACAGAAGCAGAGAGTATAAATATCTCCTTGTTTAATAGTTGGGCTGGAGAATAAAAACTAAAACAACCACGAATATAAAGTCCTCGACATCACGTGGGGCGCGCAAGCTTCTCTCCTTTTTACAAACATGGTGGTGATGATGGTGATGATGGCGGTGGTGATGGCGGTGGTGATGGCGATGATGGTGGTGGTGATGATGGTGGTGGTGATGGTGATGATGGTGGTGATGATGGTGGTGATGGTGATGATGGTGGTGATGGTGGTGGTGATGATGGTGGTGATGGTGGTGATGATGATGGTGGTGATGATGGTGGTGGTGATGATGGTGGTGATGGTGGTGGTGACGATGAAGATGGTGGTGACGATGAAGATGGTGGTGACGGTGATGGTGGTGACGGTGATGATGGTGGTGGTGATGGTGGTGATGATGATGGTAGTGGTGATGGTAGTGGTGATGATGGTGGTGGTGATGATGGTGGTGACGATGAAGATGGTGACGATGAAGATGGTGGTGATGATGGTGGTGATGATGGTAGTGGTGGTGACAATGGCGGTGATGATGATGGCGGTGGTGATGATGGTGACGATGGTGAAGGTGGTGACGGTGATAATGGCGGTGACGATGATGGTGGTAATGGCGGTGGTGACGATGGCGGTGATGATGGTAGTGATGATGGTAGTGGTGGAGACAATCGCGGTGATGATGGTGGTGGTGATGGTAGTGACAATCGCGGTGATGATGGTGGTGGTGACGATGATGGTGGTGATGATAGCGGTGATGATGAAGGTGGTGACGGTGATGGTGACAATGGCGATGGTGGTGGTGACGATGGCGGTGATGGCGGTGGTAATGGTAATGGCGGTGATGATGGAGCGGTGGTGCAGCGGTTAGCGCTACGAACCCGACCACCCAAGTTCGATTCCAGCTCACGGCCACCGACACCGGCGACGATGATCTGAACCCATCCCGGGCCTCCCCCTAACCTGGTGCGGTGTGTAGCAAAACGTCGCCACTGAGGGAAGACAAAGACGGCCGGGCGTTTGGTTGCTGGCCGCCCGTCACCCCCCTCGTGTGCCACAGTGCCCGTAGCCTTCGTAGCTGCTGCTGCTCGCTAACAGTGTGTTACGTGGCGACACGGGGGGGGGGGGTACCCCCCCGCGGGGGGGGTACCCCCCCCCCCCCATTGATCAATGTGTACGTTTGGTAGAGGTACTGTCGAGTGGCCCTGCCATGCGAACGTGGAAATTCCCCAGCAACCGTGACCGGCTTCACTCTCAGCAGCCACCACCACCACCACGACCACCACCACCACGACCACCACCACCACGACCACCACCACGGCCCACCACAGAAACGTCGCCAGGGCACGTGGTGAGGCGATGTCTCTCACCTGGGGAGTCTGCGCTGCGGGGGGGGTCGACCTCGTGGCGACTAAAAACACTCGGGGGGGGGGGGGGGTGGACGAGAGAGGGGGAAGCGAACTAAAAGAAACCCCCACTCCTGGTGAAATATAAAACAATAAGACGACAAATCTACCGCCGGTGAGATTAAAACTTCGCTCGACCTCGGTCGAACCCTCACGAGGCCAACGGCAGTGGCGAGGTCCGAACACGAGTGCAGCGATGACGACACGAGTCACGTGGCGAGCAACCCAGCATCCTCCTCCCCCATCCTCCCCCATCAACCTCCTCCTCCCCCATCCTCCTCCATCCTCATCCTTCTCCTCCCCATCAACCTCCTTCCCCATCAACCTCCTCCCCCAACCTCCTCCCCCATCCTCCTCCTCCCCCAACCTCCTCCCCCATCAACCTCCTCCACCATCCTCCTCCTCCCCCAACCTCCTCCCCCATCCTCCTCCTCCCCCAACCTCCTCCCCCATCCTCCTCCTCCCCCAACCTCCTCCCCCATCCTCCTCCCCCATCCTCCTCCTCCCCCATCCTCCTCCCCCATCCTTCTCCTCCCCCAACCACCTCCCCCATCCTCCCCCAACCTCCTCCCCCATCCTCCTCCCCCATCCTCCTCCCCCATCCTCCTCCCCCATCCTCCTCCCCCCATCCTCCTCCCCCATCCTCCTCCCCCATCCTCCTCCTCCCCCAACCTCCTCCCCCATCCTCCTCCTCCCCCAACCTCCTCCCCCATCCTCCTCCCCCATCCTCCTCCTCCCCCATCCTCCTCCCCCATCCTTCTCCTCCCCCAACCACCTCCCCCATCCTCCCCCAACCTCCTCCCCCATCCTCCTCCCCCATCCTCCCTCCTCCCCCAACCTCCTCCCCCATCCTCCTCCTCCCCCAACCTCCTCCCTCATCCTCCTCCCCCATCCTCCTCCCCCAACCTCCTCCCCCATCCTCCTCCCCCATCCTCCTCCTCCCCCAACCTCCTCCCCCAACCTCCTCCCCCATCCTCCTCCCCCATCAACCTCCTCCCCCAACCTCCTCCCCCATCCTCCTCCCCCAACCTCCTCCCCCATCCTCCCCCATCAACCTCCTCCTCCCCCATCATTCTCCTCCCCCAACCTCCTCCCCCATCCTCCTCCATCCTCCTCCCCCATCCTTCTCCTCCCCCAACCTCCTCCCCCATCCTCCTCCTCCCCCATCAACCTCCGTCCTCGTTCCCCCTCCGCCCCCTCCGAACCTTCTCGACGATTCGATGGCTCCAGCAAACAGCCGGTGACTGGGCACTTTTGCCGGAGTTTTAACAACCCGATCACAAGTGATGGAGAGAGCGAGCGAGAGAGAGAGAGACCAGCGAGCACGAGGAGTTACCAGCAGCACCTGAAACTGAGGTTCACCACACCGCTGTCAAGCCACACGGTCTGACTCCCCACCCCCACAGAATTCTTGTACATGGACATTGAGTTCTCAGGTCCATACGGCGCACAGCCGTTTCAATGCAGGTGTAGCGGAGTATGAATGTGTGCTGGGGGAACTGCGCGAGTGTATTGACCACACAGACACACACACGGACAGTGCGGGGTTTACCTGTGGTCAGCCTGAGGAGGCGGCGGCTTTAACAGTGGGGTCGTGTGAGGTCAGCCAGGTGAAGGGGCTGGGGTGATGACGTTACGGTCGGGACAATGAAGCCAGAAGGGCTGTGATTGGTTGGTGCTGTTGCTGGGGCCGAGGAGGCGCCGAGGTGTCTGGCAAAAGGGCAGGTGGTTGAAGACGCGAGGCGTGCGGAGACACGCGGACAAATTAATTAGCGATAATGAGATTGGGGATAAATTGGGGGGAGACAGAGAGAGAGGGATTGGAGTTGTGCGGTGAAGACGTGGAGTTCGGAAACAGAGTTTAGAAGAGAGTTGGAGCATGGTGATAGCGAAGACGAAGAAGACGGATCAGTTAGCAGTGGAGTGAGCATAGTGATAGCGAAGCTGAAGAAGTTAGCAGTGGAGTGAGCATAGTGATAGCGAAGCCGAAGCAGTTAGCAGTGGAGTGAGCATAGTGATACAGGAGCTGAAGAAGACGAAGCAGTTAGCAGTGGAAAGAGCGTAGTGATAGAGGAGCTGGAGACGGATCAGTTAGCAGTGGATAGAGCGTAGTGATAGAGGAGCTGGAGACGGATCAGTTAGCAGTGGAGAGAGCATAGTGATAGAGGAGCTGGAGACGACGGATCATTTAGCAGTGGAGAGAGCCTAGTGATAGAGGAGCTGGAGACGGATCAGTTAGCAGTGGAGTGAGCATAGTGATAGTGAAGAAGACGGATCAGTTAGCAGTGGAGAGAGCGTAGTAATAGAGGAGCTGGAGACGACGGATCAGTTAGCAGTGGAGAGAGCATAGTAATAGAGGAGCTGGAGACGACGGAGCAGTTAGCAGTGGAGTGAGCATAGTGATAGAGGAGCTGGAGACGAAGCAGTTAGCAGTGGAGAGAGCCTAGTGATAGAGGAGCTGGAGACGACGGATCAGTTAGCAGTGGAGAGAGCCTAGTGATAGAGGAGCTGGAGACGAGGCGTGCGGAGACAGAGAAGTGAGATTGGGTTTCGCTGCGTGCGACGACGCTGTATAGCGGAGGAGCTGAGGAGGACAGCCAGCAGTGGAGAGAGCGTAGTGATAGAGGAGTTGAAGACGTGTGTGTGTGTGGAGCAAGCGACGTGACACTGTGAACCAAGGTGGTGAGCGAGACGGGCGAGGCACGGCGAGCGAGCCGCGGTGTCCGGGATACGGTGGAGTGTGGAGGACGTGTTCAACAATGAAAATAAATAAGTGGTTTAAGAAAGATAAACGTTGTTCCTGTAAAGTTCAACCAACTACACGGGCAATAAAAAAGTAATCGTTGTCTATTTGTGTTTCTGTCTTGCCATGGGACTTTGTGGGATGAAAGTTGAGATTTGTTGATGGTACGGGGTGACCAATGAGGTGTGAATTGGTCTGTAATAAGGTCGGGCGCTGACAAGGGGTTGACAGGTATGGGATTACCAAATTGTGTGGGAGGCCACCATTCACACCTCACCCTGGGCATCGACCCGATGTTGTTGTTATCTCAGCCGCTGTGGATGGACGTTCCTCCTGTACGGCCATGGACGGAATGCTTCTCGAAGCTACCGTGTATCGTGGCCGAATTTTGTTCAATTAGCCGTAGGGGCCAAATGAGGTGGCTCTCGCACCTCCAGGGCGAACAGGGAATGGGCCCCCGAACCGCAAGTTGGGGCATCCTCACCCCGGGCCTGCCCACCATCGTGAAGGCCCTTGCTTATGACCCCAAAGGGCACGCACAAAGTACGAAGAAGCAACCCCACCGTAGCCCTGGCCTACTGCTGGCATCACAGGCCTTGACCAGGTCGATAAAGCAGAGATGTAGGTCCCGTTGGCATTCCCTACACCTCTGCAGTCGCACACGGACACAGAATATGGCGTCTGTGAAAGACTGAAACCACAATTTGGACTTCTGCAAATCTCCCGGCACACAGGAGGGAGATGTACCCCGTTAGTTGTGAGAACCAATGCAGTTGTCCCTTTGTTAAGGAAGGGGGATCCTTTAAATCCTGCAAAACCTGCCCTCTGTGGTCCAGACAGTTGTGTGAATATAAAATGGGAAACATTTTCGTTTGCCAGTATCATTGCAGCTGCTCAACCCGATAGTACATTGTCTTTGTACTGTTCGCATTTTGGTGTTCTCTGGCCCTAACACTGGTGGTGAGACTAGGCCATCAACAAGGCTGTCTGGTGTAGGCCAATCCGTTTTCAAAGACTACGCGTACATTCAGAGCATGTTTTGTATGTTTTGCCACAAGTATGTGTGGTAATGCAGACTTGATTCCTTCCAAACGGTATGTATTTGGTGTTTGAACATCTTAACACCTGTTTTATTGCCGGAAATGGTAAAACTTATTTTTTATTTTGTCATAGTTGTGACGATGTTCACACACAGTGGAGTCAAGACGAACGCCATCCCCTCCTGGCGCATGAGTTGATGGTTTTTTTTGGCCAGGAATTGGCGGCGATGCACGCGTGCCCGTGACATCGCACTGTTGGAGCTCAGGGTTGGTGGATCACAGAAATGTTGCGAAATTCAACCGTGGGCATCGGGGCTCTGATACCCTGGCTCGCCAGCAGAACGCGGTGTTTGATACCATCTCGATGGCGTAGACTGTTGCTCTCTCTCTCACACCTGTTGTATTTCTCGCCTCTCTGGCCGTTTCGCTTTCCTCCCGCATGCGAGCATTTACGAATTGTCTGATAACACATGAATATGCACGGAGAGGATCGCATAGCTCGGGAAATTGTTGGCACCGGCTGCTCATGGCGTGTTTGCCTTAAAGGGCCATCACCATTTTAAGGAGACGCTTCCACTGTGAAGACGACGAAGGGAACAGCCAAGAGAAAGTCGAGGATTGTTGGTGGTGGAGCCACAGGCAATACCAAAAGAAATCCTAACCGTGCCACTTTGCATTCTATGCCGTACCAAAGGTAAAACCCTCCCGTGTAGCCTGAACAGACTGTAGGGGGCAAGTGCTGTTAGCGAGCACCACCTATGAAGGCCGGCACGGCACACGAGGGGGTGGGTGGCCAGCAACCACGCCCGACCGCCTTTGTCTCGCCAGTGGCGATGTTTTACACGTCGCATCAGGTACTCATTTGAGGCTGAGTCGACCTAGGGGAGGCCCAGGACCTGTTGAGATAATCGTCACCGGTGTTGGCCGTGAGCGGGAATGGAACCCGGGTCGCGGTGTTCGTAGCGCGGCGGAACGCTGACCGCTCCACCACCGCTCGTTCACACAGACGCAGGGTAAAATCGCTTGTTCCGTACACTGTGCAAATACACGCCACCAGGCAACTGAAGCACACGTTTACGTTCATTTGAAATTCTTTACTTAGATGTAATAACAATCAACATTAGTGCACGTTACAACAGTATTCCGGGCTCGCCATGGCGTGAAAGTTTCCACTTCCGCAGACAATTGTGCGCCTGCGCCCATAATAAAGACGTGACTACCTCAATGTGCACCTCCAGGGATGATGTGTTTTTCTTGTGGCAAATTAAAGATGTAAACGTTTTCTCCCACCTCATCTCTGGCGCCGCGGTGTTGAGATGTTTACTACCTCGCCTGGTATACAGGGCGTTGTGGGGTCGATCCCAGCCCTGACGCCTGTTGCTGCTGTTTATTTGGAGTTTGTGGTGTCTCTCATCATCACGGAGATTTTGACTACCTCGCCTGGTATACAAGACGTTGTGGGGTCGATCCCAGCCCTGACGCCTGCTGCTGCTGTATATTTGGAGTTTGTGGTGTCTCTCATCATTATCACGGTGGCTAGATGTTAACTACCTCGCCTGGTATACAGGACGTTGTTGGTTTGATCCCAGCCCTGACGCCTGCTGCTACTGCTGCTGTATATTTGGAGTTTGCGTGTCTTCTTTGTAGTCACGTGGATTTTTCTCCGGGTCTTCCGCTTTTCTCTCCACATTTAGAAACACGCGTTTTAGAGTATTTGGCTGCTATAAATTTCCACGTGATAAGCCACTTCGTTCAACTATCATTTGTGGCCAGGTTGCTTCTGAAAAAGAGCTACATAACTCAGTGGACCTTGCCTGGTAAAATAAAAAAAGTTTGCGGCCCTGAGCCAGTGGTGGAAACTCCACATTCCTATGGCGCATGGGTCAGTTTCTACATTACACCACCACCGGTTTCTCACAAGGCGGTACTCATTTACTAACCCTAAAGCGATGACGGAGATTTGAGTTGGGGAATCCTTGCGAATGCAATTCAAGCGTGGCGTCCACAGCGCGCGATGGGCAATGTGTCGCGTTCTCGATTGGCTTCGTGCAATGTAAGGGCATCATCACCGGCCTTCCATGCCGGGATGCCTGCCCGCATGGACGGCTTAGCAGCGTCAGTCTCGTCGCTTTGTCCAGGAGCTGCCAGGCCAGTCCAGGGCCAGACCCACCTTTGGCCACCACAATCTAGAATATGAACCAGGGTGGGAAACCTTTTCCTTACCGAGGGCCGGCGGACGGAAGTTTCAAATACCTTTCTGTGGGCCAGCACCGATAGCCGCCAGCCGCCATCCGCCACTAATTGACCGTGACGTCGCCACGGAGCCTGTGCCAGGCCAGGTGCACTCTTAAGGGGCCACACATGAATGCACACACTTTAGCGACTTCTGTTCTTCCAAGAAGCTCGAGTGTCTGAGCGCTCAGTTGAACAGAGTCCCCTTCCAATACCTGATAAGTGCAGCCAGGACGCTTGCAGTGAAACGCGTTGCTTGCAAGCCGTTTCTAAGCGGGAGGCCTAAAGTGGCCGTGGGCCGTAGGGGCATGGAGCCGTATCTGGCCCACAGGTCAAGGGTTCCCCACCCTGATACACGTGGACATGCGTTGACATAACCGAACCGTCCCTCAAGTATTTTAAACATACGCGCGGAAGAAAAACAACTCCTGTAGTTCCACACCAGGGCTGCGTGTCCCAGGCTGCCTCACGCAGGTCTGAAGCTTGCATGGGACAGCCTGGGAGAGGCGCACCATGATGGCACCCGCGTGATGTCACTTGGGCTGTGTGTCCCCGGCGGCTGTCCGACACGAGTCACTTGTGACGCCACTCACATCCCCCCCAACCTCATGCTTGCGCGCACGGCTGAGTAAAATAGCGCAACGCAAAGATCTACATCCAAGTTTGAAGGCCACACGGCCGCTTCAGGTGAGGCTCAATGAATCGCCGCCGTGCCTCTGGTGAACTCAACAACAAGGCTGTGTCACTGCTGCACTATGGTAGAACGCCAGATCATGATTTTAAAGTCTTCAGCTACTTACGAAAGCTTCATTATCATGTTAGACAGCCCGGACACACAGCCTAGGTAAGTATACCTGCAAGAGCCGTTGGGTTATTGGGTTATGCCACTGTGTAGGTGTTCATGGTTGTGCTGCAGAGCCCTCCAATGTACCTTCTGTTAGACGTTTCAGGAGTTAAAGCGAGTCGCTGAGCAAGCTCCCGACACGCGGATCGGAAACGTCGAACATCGTGTTGAACAACACGCGGCACAACCTGGCAACTGCGTCGGTGTTTTTTGTGTGTCCCTACTTCCTTTAAAGTGGGTATCCACGTTCCCATGGCGGGTCCGTTTCTCCCTTCGGCCAGGGGTTGGCAACCAAAAATAACAAGACCAGCTAATTTTCTTCGAACTCGATAGAAACCTACATATTTCGAGAGCCGCAATGCACGTGGACTACTCAACGGTGCTTAATGAATATCGTCAAACCATATATATGTTATCGCTATTTTGAGAACAGCACACGTGCAATGATTCGTAATGCCGCATTACAAATCACTTTTAGACAATCGCCGTCTATGGAAAATAATTAGCAGGGTTTTTTTTTTTTTAAATCCATAATACAGGTTTTTTTTTCTCCCAATTATAATGTCGGGAGCCACGAAGCAGTCCTTTCCAGAGCCGCTGCGTGCGGCTACGGAGACGCTGGTTGCCGACCCCTGCATGAGGCCAATCGCTGCTGACTTCCCACAAAGTGATACAAAGTTTATCGACCCTAGCGGATGAAGATCGACCCTCGGCTGGGAACTGAACTCGTGATTTCCGATTCCGAGTCGAGCGTTAACAATTACCGGGGCCCCGTAAAAAAAAGCTCGTCAGATTTTTAAATGGCACACCGTTTACACGTCCCAGAAATGCGAAGATTAAAACCGCATAAAAAACCAACGTAAGATTTGTACTTTACGACAAGTTGCAATGCCGTAGGCCAGACCCAACCCAAAACACACACGGCGCTGAACGCTACGCTGAACGGGCTTCTCGGCGTAACAAGAGGGAATTCCAGCCTCAGCCTGGAGCCGTCGTAGCCCGACCCTTGTTCCACTGTGGGCAGCTCTGCACGGCGGCAGGGCAGACTTCGCCTGGGCACGATGCTTGGGTTTCCAGCCGAGTCCACGGCCACTGCCTCTGGGAGGCATCAAGCAACCAATCTCGCCGATCCTGCATAAACCATCAGTGTGAAATACCCTCATAGTAAAGCGTGTCTCATCTCGCAGCTCAGGCTGCGCTCTCTCGGGCTGTCTGGACACTTGTTTGAAGCAACATATACATGGGGGTGGGGGAAGGAAAACATTACTACTCGGCAGTACAACACAGACACGAGTGATGCCACTACGATTTCACTTCCCCCACCCCCAGTTGTTGTAACGCAATGTGACATCACCAGAGTGCCACGACAGAGCATCAGCACGCGATTTGTAAGCGATTTCGTTCTCGTTCAGAAAGCTTAAAAGTCGCGTCGGGCAGCCAGGGACTCGGAGCCTGAGGTACGCACTCACGAGGCAATAGCTGCTCATCTTTTGGGTTGCGTCTTCGCTTCACACTTGGCGCTGCACTGATGACTGGCGTTGAGCTAAACCGGGCTAAAACTGGGCTGGCGAGGACCTGCCTCTAATCCAGCTAGGAGCTAGCTTGAATCCCCATGCACTGTGCTTCACGGACGTGCGGGATATTGGTTTGTTCCTATGTTTACCTGTGGCAGTGTGCGCTGAAGATGGGGCAGAGCAACCTAGAAGGGGGCAGCACAACCCTACCGGGCTGTGTGCATGTCTACGTGTGTATATATGTACGTGTGTACGCGTGTGTATATATGTATGTACGTGTGTATATATGTATGTACGTGTGTACGCGTGTTTATCACACGGGTAATAATTTGTCGATTAAAATTGGATCTTACACTTGGGGCATTTGACCACTGACCCTATTCCGGTACTGCAATTTCCAAAGTTACCACCACGTGGGGCGACGGTTCAAGTCAAGGATGACAATGTTTGTTAGTTTTGTTTTTACCGTATCGTCTCATTTGTAGCTTCATGTGGCTCCACGACAGAGTATAATTTGCATGTCATTTGCATACAGCAAAACGTACGCATTCCTACACGCATGATGAACTGTGTGTAGCTGAATTGAAAACTAAATTCTTTACAAGTGCTTTCTGTGTTTAGTTTGTTGTCCTTCCCCCGCACCGCCAATTAGCACGCTTGGCTACGTGCGGTGCGAAAGAAGTTCAACGTACATACGCTGTGTGCACGAAATCAATTTTAATCGATGCCTCGTGAAGTGCCTAATTACGCTCGCAACACACGCATGAAAGAGGTGTGCCTAAAGGATCGATTATTTACACTTTCTGTGAATTTAAATAAATCACATGCGAACGTCGCTTCATCCGAAGGGAACAAACGGGACGCGACATACGAGACAACATGAACCAGGCGAGCAAGCTCTGATTCTTGAATCGACTCATGACCCAGAATAATGAATGACAGCTCATTGAATTGCCGAGTACGAATCGTTACTTTTCTGGAGTCTGTACGTATACCCAGCCTGCGTGCTGTACAAATACCAACTTGTGTGTACTGGTACATATATCAGCCTGTGCGTATGCGTACGCATACCAGCTTGTGTGTGCTGGTGTGTGTCTCCCAACCCATGTGTAACCCTGTGTGTGTCCATATGTATCTGTACATATCCTGCTCTGTGCGTAACCCTGTGTGTGTCCATATGTATTTGTACATAACCTGGTCTGTGCGTAACCCTGTGTGTGTCTATATGTATTTGTACATATCCTGCTCTGTGCGTAACCCTGTATGTGTGTCCATATGTATTTGTACATATCCTGGTCTGTGCGTAACCCTGTGTGTGTCTATATGTATTCGTACATATCCTGGTCTGTGTGTAACCCTGTGTGTGTGTCCATATGTATTTGTACATATCCTGGTCTGTGTGTAACCCTGTGTGTGTCTATATGTATTTGTACATATCCTGGTCTGTGTGTAACCCTGTGTGTCCATATGTATTTGTACATATCCTGGTCTGTGCATAACCCTGTGTGTGTCTATATGTATTTGTACATAACCTGGTCTGTGTGTAACCCTGTGTGTGTCCATATGCATTTGTACATATCCTGGTCTGTGTGTAACCCTGTGTGTCTATATGTATTTGTACATATCCTGCTCTGTGCGTAACCCTGTGTGTGTGTCTATATGTATTTGTACATATCCTGCTCTGTGCGTAACCCTGTGTGTCGACGTGTCTGCAGACGCCCCCAGCCCAGGCTGCATGGCGTTGCGTGCGATGCCTTCAGTGCGATGCGTTCAGCGCGATGCCTCTAGCGTGCTCCCTGCTGCGCCGGCTGGTTGCGGGGATGTAACGTCGTGTGGAACAACTGGTTGCTGAGCGAGACGGCCATGGAGAACAGCCTTAATGGGAACTCACTGCCAAAGCACGCACACACACACACACGCACAAAGACACACACGCGCACAAAGACACACACACGCACAAAGACACACACGCATACAGAAGGCAACATCGAGTGATGCATTTCACCAATGTTGTTATTCTCACTGCGTGCAGATTATGCGGTGATTACACAATTTACGACTGGCATCGATGATTATAATTACTTATTTTGTGCAAGTAAAACCACAGTGGGTCATTAAGACTCTTTTTGAAGAGGGTCCTGCGTTGTTTTTTTGTTAAGATGTCTTCAGCCAATTAACGAGTGGGACGAAACCGGAGCACCCGGAGAAACCCCACGCTGTGCGACGGTGCAACGCTCAATCCCCGTACAAATGGAAATGGATGGCGATGAATCCATTTGCGGGCCGCCATCTCCTGGCGAGTCAGGAGTATGGCGCCTCCCAGATGCCCACGGGTTTGTGTGATCCACCAACCCCTGCTGCTGCCTCCATAGCGCTGGATTGCAGGCTGCCACGTGCATAGCCACTACCCACCTGGCTATGATAATTAATTGACGAGCGTTAACCTGCTGGATTGGGTAGGATCAGAACCCCACTCCCCCATCATCATTACTGTCATTCCACCCCCCCCCCCGTTAGAGAGAAAGTTGCTGCTATTGAAGTGTGGAGTTTGATGTATTATTTTTTAAAATTATTATATATATTTTTTGTTCCTAGGTGGTAAGTGTTATTTCCTAATTGCTTATGCCTCAAAAGTACAGAGAATGGCTATTATTATTCCCCACAAACTTGTATTTTGTGACCACGGCAGTGGTATTTTGAAAAGTACCTATTTTCAATGAGAAACGTGGTGTGCGTTTGTGTCTTACGTTCACGTAAAATCCTGGTCGCAAAAGCAAAGTTAGTGGGGAATAACAATAGCAGCCATTTTCTATACTTTTTAAACATAAGCAATACAAAAATAACACTCAGTACCCAGGAACAAAAATGGTGTTACACAGTGTTGTTGTTGCACTCGTTCACCCGTTAAAGCCTCACCGAGTCTCACGACTGATTTTCAACAGGGTCCTGGCCAAGTTTTTCGAAGTCGGCGGTCAGTGACCGCTTGTGCACGAATTCAACCGAGAAGTCTGCGGTCGTAAAGTTTTCCAACGCTGGACCGCGACAGCCAGCTCCGGTGAATGGCGTCACCGGGATCTTTGAACGTCAATTCTAGATTTGAAGCTTTCGTGACTGCAAGGATCCATACTCTTTGGTTCTATTCGGTAAAGTCACGTAGGCAAAAAAATAAAACAACAAAAATCACGACGTTTCGGCCACAAACACAAGCGGGCTTCACCAGGTGAAGGGACCAGGCTGTCTCGAGGACAGCGCTGGAGTGAAACACAGCCACGCTCAGACCGCGACCTTTAAGCTGTGTGCGAGGCTTAAAGGTCGCGGTCTGAGCGTGGCTGTGTTCCACTCCAGCGCTGTCCTCGAGACAGCCTGGTCCCTTCACCTGGTGAAGGCCGCTTGTGTTTGTGGCCGAAACGTCGTGATTTTTGTTGTTTTATTTTTTACCTACGTGGTGACTTCACCGAATAGAACCAAAGAGTATCTTTGAACGTCCACTGTGGAGCACCCCCGACGGGCACGCTTGGCTACGTACGGTGCTAAAGAAGTTCAACATATCAACATACAGTGAAACCTTGGATTGCGAGCGTAATTCGTTCGGGAAATGTGCTCGTAATCCAAAGCACTCGTATATCAAAGCAGAATTTCCCCATAAGAAATAATGGAAGCTCAGATGATTCGTTTCACAACCTAAAAATATTGGATTCATATAAAATGATTAATACAAAATAACTTTTTATATTTTTATTATTTAAATTTAATATATAAAGTAATCAAATTTGTTAATTAAATGTAATCGTGTGAGGGAGACGAGAGAGAGGAGCAGGAGGGTTATTGTGTAGGACGACTTTCACTTGCAGTACAGTTACTAAAAAAACAGTCACTACACTTGGACACACACACGTAGTCACAACACTATAGTACTGTAGTAAACAGTATACACGTGGTCACAACACTAGTACTGTAGTAAACAGTATACACGTGGTCACAACACTATAGTACTTTAGTAAACAGTATACACGTGGTCACAACACTATAGTACTATAGTTAACAGTATACACGTGGTCACAACACTATAGTACTGTAGTAAACAGTACACACGTGGTCACAACACTATAGTACTGTAGTAAATAGTATACACGTGGTCACAACACTAGTACTGTAGTAAACAGTACACACGTGGTCACAACACTATAGTACTTTAGTAAACAGTATACACGTGGTCACAGCACTATAGTACTATAGTAAACAGTATACACGTGGTCACAACACTATAGTACTGTAGCAAACAGTATACGCTCGCACGGATGTTGACTATACGAGTGAGGCACGCCGACTGAGACCAAGCATGGAAGATGATTACCCACAATCCCGCAGCGAGAGAGAAGAACCATTGGCTCAGTCGTGATCACGTGACGCTCGGCAGACAAAGCGTATACTGTACGTACGTACGTATGATTACCCACAATCCCGCAGCGAGAGAGAAGAACCATTGGCTCAGTCGTGATCACGTGACGCTCGGCAGACAAAGCGTATACTGTACGTACTGCTCGTATTGCAAGACATCGCTCGTTTATCAAATTATTATTTACTCAAAAATGTTGCTCGTCTTGCAAAACACTCGCAGACCAGGTTACTCGCAATCCAAGGTTTCACTGTACACACTCTCCATAGACTAACACTGCCCAAAGACTCAACACTGCCCACAGACTCAACACTGCACCTCCGATGAGCACGGATTGTCTACAACCCTGTGCGAAAGAAGTTCAACATACATAGAACATACATGAAAGCAGACCGCACGTGTTATTTTTACGGTTATTACAAACCGCAGGCGTAACCACAGGGCAGCTGATCGATCCGAACCGTGAATCTCCGCAGCAAAGCGGCGAACACGCCACACAGCTGGCCTGCGTCACCGCCGATCCTCTCTCTCTCTCTCCAAGCGTGCTCATCGGAGGTGACTTGAGTTGCACGTCAACGAATTCGTCTTCTGTTTCCAAGTTCTACAATCGTCAAGCAATCAACGCTGCTGCAAACTCCAGCTCTCCTCCGATGGAGCACGGTTGGCTACGTGGCAGTGCGGAAGAAGTTCAAAATACATCCATACAAACGCAGGTTCTATGACGAACATTGCCTGCCAAGACTGCAAACATTGTTTCGTCAACGGTTAATGCCAACTTTATATACGCAGCAATAAGTCATATTTCTGCGCATTCCTCAGCTATATATCCACTCAGCGGCTTGTTTCCACAGATAAGGGCAGCGCCAAGTCTGTGCTCAGTTGCCACCAAACCTCACCCCGGCACGCATCTCCTTAAGACTAGTTCGTATCGTCACGAATCATCGATTCATATGAATCCTTAATTCATAATCGATTTTTGGGTCACATTGCCGCGCAAGTAAACTGCCAAAGTTGTGTCGTACACCCCTCCACCGCCCGACACAGCCGAATAAATAAAGCTGTCACGTGAACAATGGCGTCCGTTTTTTATAGCACACCGTTGTGTCGGACAGCGATCTGGACAGGCATTCAACAACTTGGTAACGGACGTTTCGCTGGTGGTTACAACCAGCATCGTCAGGCAACTGCCAGAATTGTCAACATCTCCTCTAGTCTTAAGCCGCAACGGAGGAGATTCCCGTGTGTCGAGTGCCACGGACGAACTAGACCCACGCAGCTCCTATCGACCGCTGCGTTCACGCGCAACGTAAACAAATAACAATCGACTCTTTACTCAAATCGCGACCATGAATGGGACGCAGGCCACCACCTGCCTGGGCAGCGAATCGTTGCAGCTCCGCCAGTACTGATGAACGTACACAGCCCTTTTCTTGTCAATCCACCTGCTGAATGCAAGGGCCTCCGCACGCTGTAACAAGTTGCGCGGGGGGGCTCATCGACCGTACTTCACCGCTCTGATAACTTCGGGTTGGTGAAGGTGGTGGGCACACCATGGAAATGGGGGTGGCGCGTGCGCACGTTTAAATACGTGCGTGCGTGCGTGCGTGCGAGGGGCTGCGCATACTCACAAGGGCTGCTGCGGTGGCTTCGCTTCATTGCCGCTGATGATGAAGAGTGGGAAGAGGATTGAAAACACACACCCACTGCACGCACGCACAAAGACAAAGAGACCCCCCCCACCACCACGCACCCTTTCACACAGTGTTGGAGGAGCAAGTGCTCTAAGCGTGCATACATTAAGGCCGGCACGGTGCGCGTGGAGGTGATGTGACCAGGAATAATGTCCGGGCCACCTTTGTCTCTCCGGTGCTGATGTAAACACACCCGCGCCCGGGTAATCGTTTTCAGGCCGAGTCGACCTAGGGGATGACCAGAACTGGGTGAGATCTCACTCGCCGCTGATGCGGGCCGTGTATGAATTCGCTTTCCGTGGTCATCCGCAAGTCTCACTCGCGCTCTCCCAAGTCCGAGCTGACGACTCCCGACTTCCCATCTGCCTATGGTTGCCACCTCGTCCTGGTTTTTCTCAGGATCTCTGGCCGTGGCAGCTGCCGTCCCGCGAAAACTCTACGTTTTTCTCCGGGACGTAAAAATTCAGTTGCATAATTGTCCTCAACTCAAGACAAGATCGTTCCCCCATGTAGATTTCCATTCTTCCAGGACAGTATAACCCCTCTTAACGACGGTAATTGGTTCCACGAAACTGGTCGTCAAGTGATTTGGTCGTTAAGCGAGTCTAGGAAATACACGTTAAAGGCTCAATTCGTTCCAATAGCATCAAAAATTACTCTTCACCCCCCAAAAAAGTACTTTCTAATATTCTAATGGATATTAATACATAAAAGATACTACCAACATTATAAACACATAATATTCAAATAAACATGGTTAATCAATGCATTTATTCATATCTACTGCACCTACAACAGCCCGTCGTTAACAGGGAAATGGTCGGTAAGTGAACACATTGAGCTCTATGGAGGCACTACACTACACTACTAAACACGACACTATACACTACACATTGGGCTCTATGGAGGCCCGTCGTTAAGCGATTTTGTCGTTAACAGGGGTGGTTGTTAACAGGCGTTCTACTGTACTGCGAGTTATTGTTCATCCGAAGATATGTCCCAGTTGTTTTGTGCGATCCGAGGTGGTAACCCGGCTTCTCTCGTTGCCGAGTTGCCTTCGCTGGGGAGCCTCCCCTCCATTCCCCACCTCCCTGTCTCTCCGCGACTATCCTCGTCAGCCCCCCTTCTCACAGCGCGTCCACCAACAACGCGTGCAGCGGCGAGAGTGGTATTAAAAAAACCATGATAATAGCAGCATCAGGCTTTTGCCACCGATAGTATCCATAAGTGTTTTTTGGGTTAGATCGCGTAAATGTGTTGTCAAACCCGCCACCACACAAAGCAGCCAGTAAGGTTTGTCACGTACAACAAAACATGCCAATTAGTTTGGAGAAAGGGGATGGTACCGCGGTTATATAATCAGGCCATAGGCGTGACAGATTGTACAATTGCAGAGATCAAAAGACTCATGGCCAGCTTATGTCGAGTGAAACGAAGTTGAAGAATCTTTAAGTTAATCTTTATTCGTACTGGAAGTAGTACAAAACAGCAGAAAACCAATACAAAATTACATTATTTTTGATGGCCAGGTCGCTTCTGAAACATAGCTCTATAGCTCAGTGGGCCTAAACCTGGTAAAATAAATAGTTTATAGTTTACACTGGTGGCTGCACAGAGGTGGAGAGTTTATGAACTTGACGCTTTGTTTTGAGTGCCCCACCGGGATTTTTGCATTGCAAGTCCCGACGTGCTGCCCACCCTTGCACCAATGTGGCAGCTGCCTTCATTTATAGGTTGAGAAAGTAATCCGTGTTACCTGGTTTATTGCAACGGACGTGATGAGCCACTTCGCTGAGCTATCGCTTGTGATGGCCAGGTCGCTTCTGAACAAAAAAACTACACCGCTCTGTGGGCCTTACCTTGTTAAAATAAAAAAAAAGTTTAGTTTGAGTTTAGAGAAGCGGTCTCATTTAGCCGAGGCTTTGCCGAGGAGGCAGCGTGGGAACTCGTACCTGATGAGGTAGGACTGCGGCAGGGAGGTGAGGACGGCGAGAGGGAGGCCGAAGCCGAGGTGGTAGGGCCAATTCCCCTCCACCAGCGCCACTCGCTGGTGCACGCCCACTCCTGGCGACGGAGCCAGAGGGGACGGACGCGCGCGGCACCAGAACGGGGACGGAGGGGAGGAGCGTGGTTACGCAACACTGCACTCTGGCAATAATGAGACCAGACCCGTGGTCTATTACACTGACCATCTAAGCCAGTGGTTCTCAACCTTTGTTGGCCACTGCTGAATTGTTTCAACCGAGTAAACCCCCTTGCCTGACCCAACATTGTTCTGGGACATAAATATATGAATAATGAACATCAATGTTTAACCAATCCATTTTGTGAGGAATCCTAACTTGCTAAGGTAACTGCAAACGAAAAAAAAACGAATTAGACGGACTCTGTGCACGTGTGACGTAATTTGTTCAGGCTAGCTAGCTGGTTACTCCTGGAAACCACATTGTTGACGATCAATGACTTTAGAAAGGTCTTCTACTGGTAGGAACCTCCCAGTTACACCACCAACCCACAGGGGATTATTGTCCGTCCGTCCGTCGTGCATCCAAAAATGGGAGGGGTGGGGCTGGGTGGGGAGGGGAGGGTGGAGAGGGGCTGGGTGGAGAGGGGAGGGTGGGGAGGGGCTGGGTGGGGAGGGAGGGGCTGGGTGGGGAGGGAGGGGCTGGGTGGGGAGGGGAGGGTGGGGAGGGAGGGGCTAGGTGGGGGGAGAAGGGGTGGGGCTGGGTGGAGAGGGGCTGGGTGGGAAGGGTGGGGCTGGGTGGGGGGTGGGAGGGGTGGGGGTGGGTGGGGAGGGGCTGGACACCCCGTGGTGCCCTTATAAAACTCAACGTTTAACGTACTCACGCCGGCTTGTGCCCGCCCTCACAGTCGGGCATATTTGCGGAATACACCACGTGGTGCCGCCGTTGACCCTGGCCATTGACCGAGCAACCCAACGTTCCTACCAGCTCCCTCCGCAGCAATGTGTTATATAGTTCTATGTCATTATACGAATTAAAATTTGATCGTAGTTATTTTATTTTGGCAGATTCATACTTGATTATTCAGCAATGACTCTCGTGTATGATTAATTTCACACATTTATAAACCACCTCACGTACCCCCAGGGGTCCGCGTACCCCCGGCTGAGAATCACTGGAGGTGGCTGGGTGGCTCAGGGGGTTGATACCGGCTTACATCACGAAGCCACTAATTTAGATTATTTTAGTGCTGTAAATGTCCAAATTACGGATCACTTTGTTGAGCTATCACTTGCGGCCAGGTCGCGTCTGAAAAATAAGTTAGTACCTCAGTGGGCTTTGCCTGGTAGGATTTGGATGGTTTAGTTTTATTAATATTTATATGCGTTTGGGTGATTTGTTTACCTTTCTTGAACTCTGCACTACTGTCACGTATTTGTATTGTTTATTATTCTAACGTTCTTACCCTGTGACCCTACCGGACATCTGTGAAAAAGAGCTTTATAGCTCATTGGATTCCTCCAGTATAAATATTTTGATTCCTAAAACTCAACACAATCGTCAACAACCCTGCCTTTTAAAAACATATAATTGCCAGACGTATCGGGGCAATGGCCCTTTCTCATAACACACGTCTCTTATTCAGTGTTCACCTCACTAATCTATAGCTCTCTCTCTCGACGAGATTCACTTCTCTGCAGGCCATGGCCCAGTAGGCCACTCCAAGAGCTGTTGTGACGAGATGTTAACTACCTCGCCTGGTATGCAGGTCGTGGGTTTGATCCCAACCCTGACGACGCCTGTATATTTGGAGTTCGCAGGTCTCTCACCCCGTGGTCATGTGGATTTTTCTCCGGGTCCTTCGGGTTTTCCCTCCACATTTAAGATCAACGTGCACTTAAGAGCTTTTGGCTGGGTGTAAATGTCCATGATAAGCAAATTCGTTGAGCTATCATTTGTGATTGCCAGGTCGCTTCTGAAAAAGAGCTACATAGCTCAGCGGGCCTTACCTGGTGACATAAACACATTGTTTAGTTGAATAGTTTGCAGCCACTGAACCAGTTGTGGAAACTCCACATTCCTATGGCACATGGGTCAGTTTCTACAGAGCACCACCACTGGTTTTTAGCAGCAGTTTCAGTTTAGTTTAGCATGGCGCGTGTGGGATCGCTCACTCCTCCTTCCAGTTGGGAGCCTTGCATCTCCTCTGGCGCTCTCGCTCCACGCACTTGTTTTAGTTTAGCCTTCACGGGCCGGACGTGGCCCGCAGGCCGCCAGGCGGAGAGCCCCGCTCTGGAGATGACTTGCTACGGGACAGCCACACGGCGGACGGCTGACACACGACGGACGCGGCGCGTACCCATGTTAAACCACTTGTACTCGAAGCAGTAGAGTGAGTAGAGCAGAGACATGTGCACAGTCCCCACGATCTGTCCCACGCCTGGGATGGGAATCCAGCTTACACAGAGGCCCTGCGCAAGGCACGCACGCACGCACACACACAAGGCAAAGACAAGACAAGATCCCCCGTATAGCCTCAATAGACTTTTGGGGCAAGTGCCGTTAGCGAGCACCTACGAAGGCTGGCACGGTACACATGGGGGTGGGTGGGTGAGTCGACATAGGGGAGGCCCAAGACAGGTTCAGATTATAATCGTCACTGGTGTTGGCCGTGAAATGAACGCAGGAGTGCAAGCGTGCGATCACAAATGGTCCGTAGTGTGCAGAGATAAACGAGGCAGCTGCCTGCAACAGCTTGGGATGTTTCGCCCGCCACGCTGAGAATCTTCGCCCGCCACGTTGAGAATCAACATCACGCATTGAGAGTGTTTGGCTGCTATAAATTACCACGTGACAAGCCACTTTGTTGAGCAATCATCTGCGGCCAGGTTTCTTCTGAAGAGCTACATGGCTCAGGGTTGCTGCCCAACATCCAGGGCAAAATGCCAAAGGTTAAGTGTGAATTCCAAATCAGTGTAAGTGTGCAACATTCAGGGTAAAAGCCCACAGTTCAGTGTAAATACCAGAGATTCAGGGTAAACGCGTTTGTCAGCGTGAGGCCATTAGTCACGGTCTAGTTCACCTGTATGAGGAAGAGTGCCTGCAGCAACAAGCTGAACAGCAGATCGGCGACGAACTTGCTGAGGCTAGGGAAGGAGTGAGACTTTCCTCCCCTCGAGCCCAAGTGGGCCAGGTCGGCGATGTCCTGCGCAGACAAACAGCGCCGGGGTGGGGGGGGGGCAGCGGCAGCGTCGTTTAACGGCGAGCGAGCGAGCCAACGCATGTGCTCGCTCGCTCGCTCTCTCTCAATGAGAGCGAGCGAGCCAAAGCATGTGCTCACTCGCTCGCTCTCTCTCTCTTTCAATGAGAGAGAGCGAGCCAACGCATGTGCTCGCTCGCTCGCTCGCTCTCTCTCAATGAGAGCGAGCGAGCCAAAGCATGTGCTCACTCGCTCGCTCTCTCTCTCTTTCAATGAGAGAGAGCGAGCCAACGCATGTGCTCGCTCGCTCTCTCTCTCTTTCAATGAGAGAGAGCGAGCCAACGCATGTGCTCGCTCTCTCTCTCTTTCAATGAGAGAGAGAGAGCGAGCGAGCGAACCAACGCATGTGCTCGCTCGCTCTCTCTCTCATTGAGAGAGAGAGAGCGAGCCAACGCATGTGCTCGCTCGCTCTCTCTCTCATTGAGAGAGAGCGAGCCAACGCATGTGCTCGCTCGCTCTCTCTCTCTCATTGAGAGAGAGAGCGAGCCAACGCATGTGCTCGCTCGCTCTCTCTCTCACATTGAGAGCGAGCCAACGCATGTGCTCGCTCGCTCTCTCTCTCTCATTGAGAGAGCGAGCGAGCCAACGCATGTGGTCGCTCGCTCTCTCTCTTTCAATGAGAGAGAGCGAGCCAACGCATGTGCTCGCTCGCTCTCTCTTTCAAAGAGAGAGAGAGCGAGCGAGCGAGCGAGCCAACGCATGTGCTCGCTCGCTCTCTCTCTCATTGAGAGAGAGAGAGCGAGCCAACGCATGTGCTCGCTCGCTCTCTCTCTCTCATTGAGAGCGAGCCAACGCATGTGCTCGCTCGCTCTCTCTCTCTCTCTCATTGAGAGAGCGAGCGAGCCAACGCATGTGCTCGCTCGCTCTCTCTCTTTCAATGAGAGAGAGCGAGCCAACGCATGTGCTCGCTCGCTCTCTCTTTCAATGAGAGAGAGCGAGCGAGCGAGCGAGCGAGCCAACGCATGTGCTCGCTCGCTCTCTCTCTCATTGAGAGAGAGAGAGCGAGCCAACGCATGTGCTCGCTCGCTCTCTCTCTCATTGAGAGAGAGCGCGAGCCAACGCATGTGCTCGCTCGCTCTCTCTCTCTCATTGAGAGAGAGAGCGAGCCAACGCATGTGCTCGCTCGCTCTCTCTCATTGAGAGCGAGCCAACGCATGTGCTCGCTCGCTCTCTCTCTCTCATTGAGAGAGCGAGCGAGCCAACGCATGTGGTCGCTCGCTCTCTCTCTTTCAATGAGAGAGAGCGAGCCAACGCATGTGCTCGCTCGCTCTCTCTTTCAAAGAGAGAGAGAGCGAGCGAGCGAGCGAGCCAACGCATGTGCTCGCTCGCTCTCTCTCTCATTGAGAGAGCGAGCGAGCCAACGCATGTGCTCGCTCGCTCTCTCTCTTTCAATGAGAGAGAGCGAGCGAGCGAGCGAGCGAGCCAACGCATGTGCTCGCTCGCTCTCTCTCTCATTGAGAGAGAGAGAGCGAGCCAACGCATGTGCTCGCTCGCTCTCTCTCTCTCATTGAGAGCGAGCCAACGCATGTGCTCGCTCGCTCTCTCTCTCTCTCTCATTGAGAGAGCGAGCGAGCCAACGCATGTGCTCGCTCGCTCTCTCTCTTTCAATGAGAGAGAGCGAGCCAACGCATGTGCTCGCTCGCTCTCTCTTTCAATGAGAGAGAGCGAGCGAGCGAGCGAGCGAGCCAACGCATGTGCTCGCTCGCTCTCTCTCTCATTGAGAGAGAGAGAGAGCGAGCCAACGCATGTGCTCGCTCGCTCTCTCTCTCATTGAGAGCGAGCGCGAGCCAACGCATGTGCTCGCTCGCTCTCTCTCTCTATCTCAATGAGAGAGAGAGAGCGAGCCAACGCATGTGCTCGCTCTCTCTCTCTCTTTCAATGAGAGAGAGCGAGCGAGCGAGCGAGCCAACGCATGTGCTCGCTCTCTCTCTCATTGAGAGAGCGAGCGAGCCAACGCATGTGCTCGCTCGCTCTCTCTCTTTCAATGAGAGAGAGCGAGCGAGCGACGCGAGCGAGCGAGCCAACGCATGTGCTCGCTCGCTCTCTCTCTCATTGAGAGAGAGAGAGCGAGCCAACGCATGTGCTCGCTCGCTCTCTCTCTCTCATTGAGAGCGAGCCAACGCATGTGCTCGCTCGCTCTCTCTCTCTCTCTCTCTTTCAATGAGAGAGAGCGAGCCAACGCATGTGCTCGCTCGCTCTCTCTTTCAATGAGAGAGAGCGAGCGAGCGAGCGAGCCAACGCATGTGCTCGCTCGCTCTCTCTCTCATTGAGAGAGAGAGCGAGCCAACGCATGTGCTCGCTCGCTCTCTCTCTCATTGAGAGAGAGCGAGCGAGCCAACGCATGTGCTCGCTCGCTCTCTCTCTCTCTCATTGAGAGAGCGAGCGAGCCAACGCATGTGCTCGCTCGCTCTCTCTCTCTCTCATTGAGAGAGCGAGCGAGCCAACGCATGTGCTCGCTCGCTCTCTCTCTCTATCTCAATGAGAGAGAGAGAGCGAGCCAACGCATGTGCTCGCTCTCTCTCTCTCTTTCAATGAGAGAGAGAGAGCGAGCGAGCGAGCGAGCCAACGCATGTGCTCGCTCTCTCTCTCTCTCAATGAGAGAGAGCAGAACACTCTTCCCTCGCCCGCTCCCTCCCCCCCCCCCCTGGCGCCGGCGCGGTGTCTCGGGGTGCGGCACCCGCCTGGAACCAGATGGCGTTGACGATCTTGCTGAGCAGGAACAGCGGCAGGACCCAGAGCGCTCCGAAGATGGAGGAGAGGATGAATTCGAGCCAGCGCCACACCCCGAGGTGCAGGCTCTCCGCCCCTCCTGCCTCGCGCACCGCGGCAGACGCACGGCGCCGTCCCCGCGTCTCAGTTCGTTCATCCCGACCGCGCTCGCCGGCGCAGCCACAGCGTCACCCCACGAACGTTGAAATCGCGGGGCTTCGGCCGCCCCGCGATTGAACCGCATTTCTGCAGCGTCAGCGGGCCGATGGCCTCGGCCGATTCGCCAACGATGGTGCGGGTTCGTCGGTTTACGTGACGTGGCCGGCCAAGCTGCGACGGCTCCACGACGCGGATCGTCCACGTGGTGAACGCTCCGAGCAAGGGGGTGGAATCTCGTGCGCGCGGAAATGGAGCAGCGGTGCAGTGGCTGCAGCGCTGCACTGCATCGGAACTTTATTTTATCCCGGGGAAACCCGATGAGCTACGAAGCCGTTCATCACAGATGTCCGGCAACCTGAGTTTGACTGTCGGCCACGGCCGACATCCGTGCCGAGCGACATCGACGCCGACCCTTTACCAACCCGCGCTGACAAAACGTGAGGTACAGTTCAACGACACCCACGCACCACCCTAACGGTTTATGTAAAGCCTCCATCCAGCGGTGGATTGACAAAAGAACGTAAACTATTTAGTATTTTTAATCTACGTGGCCAAGAGGCTCGTTGGGGTGTAATATTCAGAAGCGGTTCCGTCACGCGCGCCACCCTCCCGGGGCCGATCCCCGACGCGGGGTGACGCGGTGCGCAGCTCGCCGGCAAGAGTGTTGGCAGGGGAACGTTGTGGGCTCGCGATGGAGCGACCGCGGCAGTGCCGTTCACGCGGCGGCGCGCGCTCACCCTGAATGAACCGCGAGAACACCAGCGCCGTGAGCGCTTGCAGCGCGGGGATGAAAATGCTGTAAAACAGCTGGATTGAGAGCTGCAAAAAGAGAGAGAGAGAGAGAAAACAAACATTTAGCAAATTAATAAATTTGGATCATTTAACAGCTCCTGCCCGATACTGGAATTTCAAAGTTCCTAAAATAGCCGACGGTGGCTGTCATTCTTGCTGAATGTATGTTGAACTTCTTTCGCACCGTACGTAGCCGACCGTGCCGATCTGTGTTGACAAAACTACGTGAAGCACCGATGCCGGCAAAAGCGCAGCCCTGCAATCGCTGGCTCACGCCACTGCCGGCGGTAGTGCCCCCGCTAGAGGCAGCTCCAGAGAGCATCCTCTCGAGGGTACTTTGGCCTACTCTTCCACGCCGGCCAGACACCCTGGAAGAGGTCGGAGAACCCAAAACTTTACCCCCACCACACCGATCGACCGACTGTGATGTTAGCCGTTAATACTGCTGGGCGGACAGAGGCCGGGTCGGGTCGGGGGGGAGGGGGGGGGAATGCCCGGAGATCCAACCAGTGACCTCTGAATTGCGGTCAACAATTAGAACAAAAAATACTAAAACCACGGGGATAATTTTTCGGACAAGATGTGCTGCGTTGCTGGGCTGCACCCCGGAGGCGGGGGTTTGTGGATCACACGGATATCATCACGTGCGGCGAAACTCCCCACCTGCTGGGCTGTTCGGTATGAGTACGTACGTTGAACTTCTTTCGCACCCTACGTAGTCAACCGCGCAGAGCACAGAGATCCTGGGTTTGCATCACGGCTTTGTAGCTGCCTCTGATTAAACTGGGTTCTCAAGCGAAGTTAATTCGATCGCTCTTAGCCTGGCCACCGATTACTGCACAACAACAAAAAAAGATCGCATTCAATTTGGTTACACAATAAAAGTGGCGAAATTCCAGCCCTGAGAATGATCTGTTCGACTGTGATGCGACGAAGGTTACTCTGCATGTATGTAGAACTTCTGTTGCACCGTACGTAGCCAACCGTGATAATCGGAGGTACAGGGGAAGGACAACAAACTAAACACAAGAAGCAGTTCCAAAGAAAAAAGTTGACCGTACCTAATGCGGGCAGCACAGACGTGGGAGTTTAGAAGTACAGTAGAACAATGGCTGTTTGCCGAACTGCTGCCCACAACAGTGCAACAATGGAAGACAAAAACCTTCGAGGCCTATGGAAACCTGTTTGTCCATGGAATTCACCCATCCAAGCACGATCCTGACTCAAATTCGCTTAGCTTGTGAGCTCTAACGAGATTGGGTGCATTTCGCCTGATTTGGTCAGGAGCTGATTTTGTATCCTGCGGCAAATGTAAGTTTCCAAAATGCCCTTAAGGTGCCCGTGCATTGCGGAGGTTGACGCAACAGAACTCCTCATCATTATGCTGTTGCCAAGCGTTTCACTACGTGAAAGTATCAGACGGTAAAGCGTTGCCCCCTGCTGTGTGGACCAAAAATCACTTGAAGGGATCCAAAAGGTAGCACTGCGATTTCCGCTTCAGCGGGCCCTTGCCCAACATGAAGCAGTTGCACCGCTCGGTCGCGAATGGATTCCGTGGCCCATGGTGCACAGTTGGGAGAAGATTGGGGAGAAAAAGGCAAAAAAAGATATTTTTAAAGAACTCAAATGAGATTGCCCCCAACGCGAGTTAAATTCACGTACTCACCCAGAAGATGCCTCCGTTCCATGCGCAGCACTGCAGAATACGTATCACGATCTTTGGCTCACTAAAAAAAAAGAGTAAGGACGTTATTGGGGGCGTGTTAGTATGAAGGCGACGCTGCACCTACATAAACATTTAGGGCCTAACCAATACCTTGCTGAAAAAAACACCAATTGGGTTGGTTAAGTGGACAACGGTGATGTTTTTCAACCACTATACGAAAAGGAACATTCACAGCAACACGAGAATTGGGTCCTTGGCGTTCCACGCTAAATTTTTTGTTCTGCGCAACAGTTCATGAAAGTGGACGAAGTTGCTCGTGGCCTCAGCTCCGGCAATGGTGACATCACAGTGAGAGAGGAAATCCCACGGGCAAATTGCTGTGAAGGCAACGCCAGAGATCGGGCTGCACCGGTGATGACAGAGACCAGCTGGATTCCGTTGATACTTGGCTTGTTATTCTTGTTCCAAGCGCAATTTAGTGTCACGTTGCTCTCTGGAATGTACGGGATATTCTACGCGATATTCTAGACTGGGATCAACAATCCCGTGACACTCATCCACCCACCCAGTTCGGTTGTTCGAGCACCTTTTGCTTTAGGCTGGCCATCGAACAAAGAGGGTCACTGCATCGCACGCCTGCAGGTGCGCTTCTGTGGGCGTCTGGGACGCTCTTCCTTCCAATAATAGGAAGCCACTGGAGCTATGCACTTTTAAATCATCAAATATATAAAAGGGAAATTTGTGAATGTGTGTGTCTGTTCGAAATGTTTAGCATACTTCCCAACATGCAACAAATTTGAAATTTGGCATGTGGTTAGCTTCCAGACTGTACACAATGCAAAAAGTATAAAAATAGACTTTTGTATTTTGGGGGGGGGGGCGTGGGGCGCAATAATGGATATATTTAGCACGGCAAGTGAGCGGTGACGTCACATCTGTGATGTCACCCGCATGCGGCAGCGTCACACAGTGTGTCTGCTGACGTCACACAGTGTGCCCGCTGACGTCACACAGTGTGCCCGCTGACGTCACACACAGTGTGCCTGTTGACATCACACAGTGTGCCCGCTGACGTCACACACAGTGTGTCTGCTGACGTCACACAGTGTGCCCGCTGACGTCACACACAGTGTGCCCGCTGACGTCACACAGTGTGCCCGCTGACGTCACACACAGTGTGTCCGCTGACGTCACAAACAGTGTGTCCGCTGACGTCACAAACAGTGTGCCCGCTGACGTCACACACAGTGTGCCCGCTGACGTCACACAGTGTGCCCGCTGACGTCACACACAGTGTGTCCGCTGATATCACACAGTGTCTGCTGACGTCACACAGTGTCTGCTGACGCCACACACAGTGTGCCCGCTGACGTCACACACAGTGTGCCCGCTGACGTCACACACAGTGTGCCTGCTGACGTCACACACAGTGTGCCCGCTGACGTCACACACAGTGTGCCCGCTGACGTCACACATCCCCCCCCTCCACCCTCCGCGTAGGCCGTGTATTAATTCAAGACAAGAATCCAAGTCTCGGGCGAAGCCGGGTAGTAAAGCTAGTCTAGGATAAAAACTAATTTCTTGAGAACTGCTTTTTGTGTGTTAGTTTGTTGTTCTTCGCCCTATAACTCCGATTCACACGGTTGGCTACGTACGGTGTGAAAGAAGTTCAACAAACATACATACATGAAGTACATACCTCAGTTCAGGACATCAGAGGCACTTCTCATAACAACTATTTTGCACTCGCCACTGCAACTTGAGCTCTACCATTATTGGCAAGGAACCAGTGAAAAGCGGGATGGCAGCCACAACCTGCGCCAACGATTTGCCCAAGATCTGCGGTCCTGTATCGGGATGTTTGGCCAACTCCATTTAATGAGTGTTCATACACATGCGAGTAATCCGGAGTGCCCGGAGAAAACCCATACGTGCAGGGGGAGTAACGCTCGATCTCCGGACAGATAGAATCCACGTGTAGATTAACCCATTCGCTGTACCGCCACCATAGCCTGGCAAGCCTGGAGTCTTCAACATCAACACCCATGGGGTAGGGAGGAAGTTTCACAAATTTTTGTGATCCACCAATCCTCATCGGCACAGTGCTGGATTACAGGCGCGCACCTGTATTGTGTAATTGTATATCTGAGACGCGTCGTTAATTATTTACCTATGATGCCGTCGTTATTTAATTGTTAAAGTGTGATGCGTAATTAGTTTGGGTCGCCATGGATGCGAGATGTTAACTACCTCGCCTGGTATACAGGATGTCGTGGGTTGGATCCCGACCCCGACGCCTGCTCTATATTTGGAGTTTGCGTGTTCTCCCCATGGTCACATGGATTATTCTCCGGGTCCTCCGGATTTTTCCTTCACATTTAGAATCAACATCACACGTTTAGAGCATTTGGCCGCTATACATTTCCACGCGATAAGCCACTTAGCTGAGCTATCATTTGTAGCCGGGTCGCTTCTGAAAGAGAGCCACGCAGCTCAGTGGGCCCTTACCTGCTCAAATAAAAAGTTTTAGTTTAGTGTGGCGCATGCGGGATCGCTCACTCCTCCTTCCAGTCGGGGCCCTTGCGTCTCCTCTCCCGCTGCTTCTCGCGCTCTCGCTCCACGCGCTTGTCCAGGCGCAGGACAGCGCTCATGCCCCAGATGGAGTCCCGCACGCCCTGCTCACGCGACACCACACCGGAGGACTTGAGGGTGCGACTATTAACGTTGACATCGCCGCCCTCGTCAGGTGACATCATCAGGCGTGGCGTCTCAACCACCACGTCACGTGAGCATCACAACCAGAGCAGGTAAGCTGTGGTGTGGGGCATCTCAATCGCATCGTCACTAGACATTCATAATAGAGGTTTTTGGGTTAGATCGCGGAAGTATACATGTGTCGTAACCCTCTACCACCCGACACAGCCACTAAGGTTTGTCACGTAAACAAAACGTGCCAATTAGTTACTGCTTCAGCCCACTAGTGTACTGGAGAGTAAATCCACAGCACCATCGGGCAATTTGCCAGAATAGTGAAGAAATCCACTTGGTTCCGGTCTTAAATAGAGCAAGATGAATTCTAGATTTGAAGCTTTCGTGACTGCAAGGATCCATACTCTTTGGTTCTATTCGGTAAAGTCACGTAGGTAAAAAATAGTTGTGGCCGAAACGTCGTGATTTTTTGTTGTTTTAATTTTTTACCTACGTGACTTTACCGAATAGAACCAAAGAGTAGAGCAAGATGAAGTCACCACTGTTAGCCAATCACTAATTGGCGCGTTTTGTTTACGTGACAAACCTTACTGGCTGTGTCGGATGAATAATATTGGTCCCGCACCTCCGATTACCGTGGATAGTTGCGTACGGTGCAAAAAAAGTTCAACACACAACATACACACTCAGGTTTGTAGACATGATTCCTTGCAAAAGTTTTCTATTTGGTGTTTGAACATCTTAACACCTTTTGATTTAAAGCTTTCGTGACTGCAGGGATTCATATTCTTGGTTCTTTCAGTAAAGTCACGAAGAAGGGAAACAATAAAATAATAAAAATATAAAACAATAAAACACATTTTCTTGCTGTGGTTTTCACACCTGACGATGATTGTTTGTGTTGCAGTGGAAACGTCGTGAGAATTTTATTGTTTTATATTTTCATTATTTTATTGTTTTCTACGTGACTTTACCGAAAGAACCAAGAATATCTTAACATTTTTCGATTTAAAGCTTTCGTGACTGCAAGGATTCATCTTCTTTGGTTCTTTCGGTAAAATCACGTAGAATGAGAATAAAATAATGAATTAATAAAATAAAATAACACGATAAAATTCTCACGACTTTAACATAGCCATTTCTGTGACCAGTCACAAGCTAACCACTCAGCTATTTCAATGCTAAATTCTCCTGTTCGATTTGTACTAGGTGCCTCTGTGGATGTGTAGGCTTTGACTTTAACATAGCTATTTCTATGACCAGTCACAAGCTAATCACTCAGCTATTTCAATGCTAAATTATCCTGTTTGATTTGTACTAGGTGCCTCTGTGGATGTGTAAGCTTTGACTTTAACATAGCCATTTCTATGACCAGTCACAAGCTAATCACTCAGTTATTTCAATGCTAAATTCTCCTGTTTGATTTGTACTAGGTGCCTCTGTGGATGTGTAAGCTTTGACTTTAACATAGCCATTTCTATGACCAGTCACAAGCTAATCACTCAGCTATATCAATGCTAAATTATCATGTTTTATATGTAAACCCCTTTGTCAAGGTGCCTCACCTCTCTAAACCAGCTTAAAAGACGCTAGGAATCTTAACAATGTTCACTGAAGCTCTGTCGTCCTGACAGGTCTGTTCCTTTCACCTGAAGGCCATTTGTGTTGTGGCCGAAACGTCGTGAGAATTTCGTGTTATTTTATTTTATTAATTTATGAATTTATTCTCATTCTACGTGACTTTACCGAAAGAACCAAGAATATCTTACCACCTGTTTTATTGCCAGAAAGGGGTAAAACCTATTCTTCTTGTTTCAGACTCAGGTTTATTTATCATCGGCATTGTATCACGTCATCATCTTCATCATCATCATCAATGTCACCCCGCAAACCCTGGGGCCACGACAACCGCGTGGAGGGTGCGCTGCGCGTCCCACCTTCAGCACGTTGAGCACGGCACACTTTGCCGTGTCGGCCATGGGAGCGCTGCAGCGGCACCCGCGGATCGCACGGCAGCCCGCAACTGATGAGTGCGCGCACACAGAGAACACGGAGAGAGTGACGGGGGGCAGTGCACTCGGCCACGACAGCGCTCACCGCCACTGACGAGCCGTGTGTAACGCGTGCACCTGATATAATTTACATGCAATGAAATGCGTGGCCGCAGGATTTGAAAAACGAGACATAATTCGCGTGAGTTGTTCTGTTGCGTAAACCTCTGCAATGCACCGGCACCGAAAGGACATTTTGGAAACTGGTAAAATGAGGCGGAATGCACCAACCAATATTAACCAAAATAGAGGTTTCTCGGTTAGTCCGCGTTAATATAAATGGCTTGAATGGCGAATTGGCACGTTGTGTTTACGTGACAAACCTTATTAATTGGTTGTGCCGGGTGGTAGCGGGTTTAATGACACATTTATATTTACGCGCCCTAACCACAAAAAACCTCTATTATGATTAATCTCATTAGATCTCACAAACTCAGCGGGGTTGAGTCTGGATGGTACTTGGATGGGTGAAGACCATGCATGGGAAAACAGGTTTCCATCGGGCTCCAAGGTTTGTCTTACATTGTTGCAGTGTTGTGGGCAGCAGACGAGATCAGGAAGGTATTGTGGTTCATTTGTGGCAAGCGAGGTATCATTAAGCACCAACGACAAGGATAGTAAAAACTTGGACAATGATCGGCAGGATTGGCCGAGTGACCTGGCTACTGTCGGTGAAAATGGAAACTCAATTCGCTCTTTCCCACAGAACCTCAATGTCATTATCGAGGTGACAGACTTTTTGTCGAACGCAATGGCTGTGTTTCCACTGAAATGATCAAAGCAAGTGACCTGTGTGCGTCTACAAACGAACAGAACGTGTTATTCGACAAACATTTTGAGTCAAGTGCTTTCTTTACACGCCAAGGAATTTGCTCACATTATTCGAGCACGCATAGAGACATGGCGATTCGCATTGGGTGGCGAACCAAAGTTTCCAAAATGCACCAAGGATCCTGCTTACTTTAGAGATTCACACAGCTGCACGTTTTTTTTTTTCAGTACGTCGTACTTCCATTACGTCTCTCACGTAGACTCATCTTCTTCTGGCCCAACACGCTGGGGCTAAACATGTTGGAAGATGTTTACTGTCTTTCCCACGTACCTCCGATTAGCACGGTTGGCTACGTACAGTACATACAAACATAGACATCTGTGTATCCGAATAAAAAGTGCCTGAAACCTGTTCAAGTCCAGGCTTGAATATCTCCCTTTGTTGTTGTGAGGGTCCTCAGCTGACCAGTACCTCACTACCACACCATGTGAGGGTACTCACCTGACCAGTACCTCACTACCACACCGTGTGAGGGTACTCACCTGACCAGTACCTCACTACCACACCGTGTGAAGGTACTCACCTGACCAGGACCTCACTACCACACCGTGTGAAGGTCCTCACCTGACCAGGACCTCACTACCACACCGTGTGAGGGTACTCACCTGACCAGTACCTCACTACCACACCGTGTGAGGGTACTCACCTGACCAGGACCTCACTACCACACCGTGTGAGGGTACTCACCTGACCAGTACCTCACTACCACACCGTGTGAAGGTACTCACCTGACCAATACCTCACTACCACACCCTGTGAAGGTCCTCACCTGACCAGGACCTCACTACCACACCGTGTGAAGGTACTCACCTGACCAGTACCTCACTACCACACCGTGTGAAGGTCCTCAGCTGACCAGCACCTCACTACCACACCGTGTGAGGGTACTCACCTGACCAGGACCTCACTACCACACCGTGTGAGGGTACTCGCCTGACCAGGACCTCACTACCACACCGTGTGAGGGTACTCACCTGACCAGGACCTCACTACCACACCATGTGAGGCACCTCACCTGACCAGGCCCTCACTACCACACCGTGTGAGGGTACTCACCTGACCAGGACCTCACTACCACACCGTGTGAGGGTACTCACCTGACCAGTACCTCACTACCACACCGTGTGAAGGTACTCACCTGACCAATACCTCACTACCACACCCTGTGAAGGTCCTCACCTGACCAGGACCTCACTACCACACCGTGTGAAGGTACTCACCTGACCAGTACCTCACTACCACACCGTGTGAAGGTCCTCAGCTGACCAGCACCTCACTACCACACCGTGTGAGGGTACTCACCTGACCAGGACCTCACTACCACACCGTGTGAGGGTACTCACCTGACCAGGACCTCACTACCACACCGTGTGAGGGTACTCGCCTGACCAGGACCTCACTACCACACCCTGTGAAGGTCCTCACCTGACCAGGACCTCACTACCACACCGTGTGAGGGTACTCACCTGACCAGTACCTCACTACCACACCGTGTGAAGGTCCTCAGCTGACCAGCACCTCACTACCACACCGTGTGAAGGTACTCACCTGACCAGGACCTCACTACCACACCGTGTGAGGGTACTCACCTGACCAGGCCCTCACTACCACACCGTGTGAGGGTACTCACCTGACCAGTACCTCACTACCACACCGTGTGAGGCACCTCACCTGGCCAGGACCTCACCACGAGGTTGGAGGAAGTTTCTGCGTCGTCCTCACGGCACCGCGGACATCGGCAGCAGGACGAAGGCGCTCACTCACTCTTACTATCACTCACTCACACTCTTACTATCACTCACACTCTTACTATCACTCACTCTTACTCTTACTATCACTATCACTCACACTCACTCTTACTATCACTCACTCACACTCTTACTATCACTCACACTCACTCTTACTATCACACACTCACACTCTTACTATCACTCACACTCACTCTTACTATCACACACTCACACTCTTACTATCACACACTCACACTCTTACTATCACTATCACTCACACTCTTACTATCACACACTCACACTCTTACTATCACTATCACTCACTCTTACTATCACACACTCACTCACACTCTTACTATCACTCACTCACTCTTACTATCACTATCACTCACACTCACTCTTACTATCACTCACTCACACTCACTCACTCTCACTATCACTCACTCTTACTATCACTCACACTATCACTCACTCACACTCTTACTATCACACACTCACACTCACTCTTACTATCACACACTCATTCACACTCTTACTATCACTCACTCACACTCATTTACACACTCACTTACTCTTACTATCACTCTTACTATCACTCACTCTCATTTACACACTCACTCACACTCTTACTATCACTCTTACTATCACTCACACTCTTACTATCACTATCACTCACACTCTTACTATCACTATCACTCACACTCTTACTATCACACACTCACACTCTTACTATCACTCACTCTGTCATTTACACACTATCACTCACTCACTCTTACTATCACTCACTCACACTCTCTCATTTACACACTCACACTCTCTCATTCACACTCATTTACACACTCACTCACACTCTCTCATTCACACTATCACTCTCCTTATCTCTCTCACGCTCTCCTTATCTCTCTCACGCTCTCCTTAGCTCTCTCCCTTATCTCTCTCACGCTCTCCTTATCTCTCTCATCTCTCTCACGCTCTCCTTAGCTCTCTCACGCTCTCCTTATCTCTCTCACGCTCTCCTTAGCTCTCTCTCACGCTCTCCTTATCTCTCTCACGCTCTCTCACGCTCTCCTTATCTCTCTCACGCTCTCATCTCTCTCACGCTCTCCTTATCTCTCTCACGCTCTCCTTACCTCTCTCACCTCCTTAGCTCTCTCTCACGCTCTCCTGATCTCTCTCACGCTCTCCTTATATCTCTCACGCTCTCCTTATCTCTCTCACGCTCTCCTTATCTCTCTCACGCTCTCATCTCTCTCACGCTCTCCTTATCTCTCTCACGCTCTCCTTATCTCTCTCATCTCTCTCACGTTCTCCTTAGCTCTCTCTCACGCTCTCCTGATCTCTCTCACGCTCTCCTGATCTCTCTCACGCTCTCCTTATCTCTCTCACGCTCTCATCTCTCTCACGCTCTCCTTATCTCTCTCTCACGCTCTCCTTATCTCTCTCAAGCTCTCCTTATCTCTCTCTCACGCTCTCCCCGTGTCCCCTCTCACGCTCGCCACTGGAGTTGTCTCTCTCGCGGCTCGTTGCAGATTCCACACTTGGGGACCGCGGCGATTTTTGCCGTCTCAGCCCACGAGTGACGTGGGCGGGCTTAGGGAGCGCGTCAAAGTGGCACCGACTCGTTGACATTGCCACCGCATCGGCTTCCGTATCACATTCACATGTGGAAATCGACACATTTTTCACGATTCCCAAAGCCTCACCACGGATTAAATTCACATGTGGAAATCGACAAATTTTTCACGTTTCCCAAAGCCTCACCACGGATTAAATTCACAAGTGGAAATCGACAAATTTTTCACGATTCCCAAAGCCTCACCACGGATTAAATTCACATGTGGAAATCGACAAATTTTTCACGTTTCCCAAAGCCTCACCACGGATTAAATTCACAAGTGGAAATCGCCAAATTTTTCACGATTCCCAAAGCCTCACCACGGATTAAATTCACATGTGGAAATCGCCAAATTTTTCATGATTCCCAAAGCCTCACCACGGATTAAATTCACATGTGGAAATCGCCAAATTTTTCACGATTCCCAAAGCATATTCTTGGTTCTTTCGGTAAAGTCACGTTGAAGGGAAACAATAAAATAATAAAATATATATATATATAAAATTCTCTCGTTTCGACTGTAACACAGTCATCATCAGGTGTGAAAAAACCAACGCCAAGAACATTTGAAAGAAGTGGCGGTTTGTATTTATTTATTTTTTCACGTTAGCACCACGGAGAGCGATTTGACAGTTTGTTTAGATGGACGAGTCCATCTATGTTCGGAAAAGAGGAGGGGGGACACGAAAAATTAATGTATGCTGTCTGAAAGCCACCGTAAGCGTGAACAATCAATTAAGACCTGAAATGGTTCCCAAAGCCTCACCACGGATTAAATTCACACCTGTAAAGCGACACATTTTTCACGATTCCCAAAGCCTCACCACGGATTGAAACGTTGCAATAAATCCAGATGCGGTATACGAAACTCCACGTTCCTGTGACGGGCGCGAGTCTTCCAAGAGAACGCCTCTTGCTACCTCCCCCTGTACACAGCAAACACGTGGCTTGGAACCGCAGGATCAACATTCTACGCCTACTGACGATTAGTGGTGCTCGCTTTATCGACCCCGGATGGGATGATGGGCCGAGTCAACCCCCACCGAGCAGGAATATTAACTCGGAAGATTGCTAGCATGAGCCGTCCGCTCATAACGCTGAGCCACGTGGCCGGCCAGAGTCTTAGGGGTCGTCCATAAATGACGTCATGCGATTTTTGACCCCCCCCCCTCAAATATGACGTCACAAAGCTCCCCCCCCCCCCCCCCGAAAAAAATATAAAACATGCTTCAAATCGCTTTAAACTATTCTCATTGTATTTCGATTTAAAGTTTTAAATCGAAATTTAACCGCCTCTACGGAGAGGGATTCCACACAACCTTAAGATCATTCAACAAACTCCGGGATAAGAAGGCTCAACTAATCGAGTCTCTCACCTTTCTGAAGAGATGCCGCGACTCTAAGGTAATACCAACCGCATTTACACTAACCTCTGCTGTTGCAACTTCTCTCAATGCAAAACGAATTCTAGCTAGAACTAGCTTCGCTCTTATCTCAGAAAAAATCAGACTTACACGCACCGAACTGGATCAGTTAGACAAGACACTCTACAAATCACACTTAACATTGACAGCAACAATGTCTACATTGGATTGGGAACATGTAGACAATATGACTACCTCTTCGACTGCCACTATGTCGACCAAATGTAGGGACAATTTGATTTCCAAATTCAATCACCTCTCCAACAAAAAATCGGATCCACACACCGAAAAGATAGACGTCAACAAAGTCGTAATTAATCGCAGTAACAGTCCCATTTCTGATAGTCTGAAATCCGTTTTAGCTAAAGGTCTAAACTTTGCTGTCACACCGAGACACTTACCGGTTAATGATATCATTGCCCATGTCGACGTTGCACTCAAGGGCTTGAGTCACATCTCTGCAGACGTAGCAAGATCCGAAATCGCTGCAACCCTCAAAACGCTAAGTTGCCACCCAGCAACATCAGCAAAGACGGACGTTTTGAATTATCTCAATTAAAAAAGAGAGATGATATTGTCGTCCTCTCAGCCGACAAGGGCAATGCCACTGTCATCATGGACAAAACAGAATATAACAACAAAATTCAAGAACTACTCAACGATGGCAGCTATACAAAAATAAAAAGAGATCCCACCAACAGCCTGGTTACCAAAACGAACAAAATCATCTCTGATTCAACAGCATTAATTGATGAGACCAAACAGTTATCGTTGAAACCATCTGCTGCCAGACCACCAAGATTATATCGCCTTCCAAAGATACACAAAGAAAATACACCCCTTCGTCCCATCGTCTCTACTATCAACTCCCCCACCTATAAACTGGCACGTTTTCTTGCTGATATACTGCGACCTTTCACTGGAAAAAAACACCTCTGCGGTACTAAATTCTACTCACCTGGTATTGACAATCAAAGGCATTTCCCTGTCCCCAGACGACCTGCTTGTCAGTTTTGATGTGGTGTCCTTGTTCACCAAAGTCCCGGTACCTCACACCATTGCTATCATTGAAGACCTGGTTCATCAAGGACTGCATACTGATGTACCTCCCCTGGTGAGACATTGCTTAACCAACACATACTTCACCTGGTTATTTCTACAAACAAACTGAGGGCACCCCAATGGGCTCCCCCTATCTCCGGGTGTAGCCAACGTATTCATGGAAACATTTGAAACTGACGCCATCCAGACTGCCACTCTACGCCCGACCTTATGGAAGAGGTACGTGGATGACACCTTTGTCATCTGGCCACATGGCCAGCCTGCTCTAGACCAATTCCGCGACCACATCAATTCCATACACCCAGCCATCAGATTTACCATGGAGGTCGAAAAAAATGGCAAACTACCCTTTTTGGATGTCTTAATTAAAAGGAGACATGATGGTTCAATGAGCCACTCTGTCACTCCAGTCATGAAGAAGGATCCTCTTGTGGAGCCACTCAAAACCATCACCTTACCCTACATTGCAGGGGTCACTAAAAAGATCTCCAAAATCCTGATTAAACACAAGATCCAGGTCCGATTCAACACAGTACATAAAATCCGTGATCTAGTTCCATCTGTAAAAGATGCTGTTCCAGACATACAGTACCCGGGCATTTACAAACTAAAGTGCCTCTGTGGTAGTAGGTACATTGGAGAAACCAAACAACATATCTCGGACCGCATCCGCGAACATAAAGCAGACTTGAAACACGGTAGAACGAACTCCTCTGCCGTGGCAGATCACTGTTATAATTCAGTGGGCTCACATGACATTGACTTCTCCAAGACGGAGGTTCTTTGCAAACCAACCGGCTACCATGAGAAATTCGTTCATGAGGCCATTCACATATACAAGCACAGAGACAATTTCAACCGAGAAGATGGATTCTGGCTTAATAACCATTGGAAAGATGTTTTAAACCATTTCCGTTCTTAATTAATTGTATTTAACGATGGCCTTCAGACCGCAGCTCTTTCGCTGGCATTGACTCTTAATACCTCTCACACCACGGTTAATGGTATGGTTTACAACATGGAGTATAACAGCGCCTCGCAGCTG